CAGATATACAGAGGGGAGGAGTGACAGAAAGGAAGATCTTCCATTTAATGATTCACACCCCAAGTGACTGCAACGGCCGGTGCTATGCCTATCCGAAGCCAGGAGTCAGGAACCTCCTCCAGGTCTCCCACGCGGGTGTAGGGTCCCAAGTCTTTGGACCATCCTCGACTGCTTTCCCAGGCCACAAGCAAGGAGCTGGATGGGAAATGGAGCTGCTGGGATCAGAACTGGTGTCCATATGGGATCCTGGCGCCTTCAGGGTGAGGACTTTAGCTAGTAGGCTACCACGCCACTGGGCCCTAAACTTTTTCTTTCTTTTCCTTACAGAGAGAAAGAGATACAGAGAGAAAGATTTTCCATCCACTGGCTCATTCCCAAAGTGGCCACAGTGGATGGAGGCGAGCCGATGCTAAGCTAGGAGCTTCTACGGGGTATACCACATGGATGCAGGGTTCTGAGGCTTTGGGCTGTCCTCTACTGCTTTCCCAGGCCACATGCAGGGGGCTGGATGGGAAGCAGGGCCACCAGGATTAGAACCAGCACCCATATGGAATTCCAGTGGTGGGGATTTAGTCATTAGGCTGTTACACCGGGCCCAAAAGCATTCATTTTCTTTTACAAGTTGTTTCAAGCCCACCCTTCTTTCTCCCTTCCTCCCTTCCTCAACCCCTTTCTTCCATCCAACCATATAGCCCTTTTCTTTCTTCTCTGTCCTTTCTCTTCAACATCCTCAACTCTGATCTTTAACTCTTCTAACCCTTCTATACCACCCAAACTCAGTTCATATATGCTCCAAAAAGACATTCCCACAAGCTCCTTCTACCTGACACCTTGCTGTATCCAAGAACTGGAAAGTCTAGAATTCTTCGCTTCTCTCTCCTCCCTGTTCCAACCCCTCATGACCTATAGGCAGGCCTCTAATTTGTAAGTCTGGGTTTACCTGTTTGAAAAATGGGCTGAATAATAGTGGCCTCCCTCAGCAGGGTGTTGAACTTTAATTACTGTTTGTAACGTCGCTTAAGATGTGGAGATGAAAGGCAGTTTTAGAAGTCCATGTTATTGGCATTAGTAATAAAGTGGAGGAATTTTGTTTGTGTGTTTGCAAGGTTGTCATAACTGGGAGAGGAGTGTGTATGGAGGTGGGGGTAAAGGTTGATTTTTATGTGGAAAAACCTTGCCCCAAAACCAGTCACAGATCCTGGTTGGTATAAATAGTAAGAACATGTTGTGCCTTAAAGCATTTGGAAATTTCACATTCTTTCATGCTCCTGAAAAGAGAGATGTCACACTTTCAAAAGTGAAAACACGGAGCTACCTGGGGTTATAAGATGCAGGAAAATTCAGGGGCCAATTTTTGGCTGAGACCCTTCCTGCCTGGGTCACCGTTTACCCCTACCTTCACCCCACCCAAATGCAGTTAAGTTACAGGATTTATTTTTACCATCCAAGACCTAGCTTTTAATTTTTGCATTCTGGTCACATTTCCACTAACACCATAACTTAACAAGAACTTTTAGAAACTTACCATTCTGGGGCAAGCGTTTGGCCTAGAAGATTCCAGTTAAGGAGTCTGCGTCACACACTGAGGTCCCTGAGCTTTGACTCCCTAAACTCCTCTAACTACAGCTTCCTGCCAATGTGGACCCTAGGAGGCAGAAAACGGAAGCAACTGGGTCCCTGCATCCCATGTGGGAAAGCTGGATTCAGTTCCCTGCGTTTTGGAGGGGTATTTAGGAAATAAATTAGTGAATAGCAGTTACGTGTGTGTGTGTACCTCTCAAAATTAAAAAGAAAATGAAGCCTACCATATTTGGGAACACTGTGGAAAACAGAAAGGAGAATAAAACAAAATGCCCAAGTGCCCAAAGCTTGTAACCATCGAACCCGAAGATAAATAGGAATGAGTGGCCTATATTTAGAATTGACTTCTCGGTGCCCTGTTAATAATAACTGCCCCCTTCCTTTGGACTGCCCACAGCCCTTTGAAATACATTACTTCATTTGATCCACCGACGATATGCTGGGATTACAAGCTCTGATTTAAGAGCCAGGAAATTGAAGCTCAGACAGAACTGGCTTTTCTCGAGCCTACAAGGGTTCAGATCTCAGCTTAGTCTTGGGAAATGGAATGGACCAGGCTAGGGGAATCTAGCACAGCGGTGTGGGGTTCTTTCCACCAAACCGTCACGCCTAGCAGTGATTCAAAGGAGAGCCCTAACTTTTCATCCCAGGAGCAAGGCTAGTCTAGATCAAAGGTCAATGCCAAATGGCACCTACTCCGGGAAGAGGGCATGGGTGTGGGCTTTAGACTCAGAGGCTCCGAATTTTGTTGCTGGCTCTTAATCCTTATGCAGATTGTGCAATGTTACTACTTTACGGAGCTTCTATTTCCTCATCTCTGCTTTTTTTTTTTTTTAAGATTTATTTATTTGGAAGTTATTGTCAGTGAAGGAGAGATAGAGAGATCTATTGACTGGTTCATTCACAAATGGCCATCACGGCCAGGTCTGGTCACAAACAAGGAACTCCAGCCTGATGTCCCACACAGGTGGCAGGAGCCCAACCACAATATGAACTGCTTTCCCAGGTGCTTTAGCAGGGATCAGAAGTGGAGCAGCTGGGACTCCCAGTGGCTCTCATAGACAGGCTGCTGTTGGGACTTAACCCACTATGCTGCAAGGCCAGATCCTGTTAAGTTGTTCTTTTTTCTTTTTCTTTTCACTTTTTATTTATTATTTATTTTAATAATACAATTTTATTTATCATTTATTATATTTTTATTATTTATAATACGATTTAGTGTATTATTATTATTATTTCAAAGGCAGAGTTACAGAAAGGGGAGACAGAAAGATTCTCCATCCACCAGCCAGAGCTGAGCCAGTCTGAAATCGGGAACCAGGAGCTTCTCCCAGGTCTCTGATGTGGGCCAAGGGCCCAAGGACTATCAGATACATTTGACAAATATTTGTTTTGAATCTGTAGCTTGTTTTCTCAGCTTCTTCATGGAATATTTCACAGGGCATGTTTTTAAGTTTTGTTTTGGTCCAATTCATTTTTGTCCTTTTATGGGTTGTGCTTTCAGTGTTAAGTCTAAAACTTTTTAAGCGTAATCCTGTGTCTCAAAAACTTTATCATTTGTTGTACATTTTTTTTTAAGTTTATGCCTTTTAAAAATTATTTGGAAGGCAGACTTACAGAGAGAGGATGAGAGCAGAGAGATTTCTTCTGTTGGTTGATTCCCCTAATGACTGCAATGGCCAGAGCTGAGTCGGTCTAAAGCCAGGAGCTTCTTCTGGAACTTGCATGTGGGAGCAAGGCCCAAGGATCCGGGCCATCTTCTGCCTTCCTAAAGCATCAGCAGGGAGTTGGAGCAGCTGCAATGCTGATGCCACAGTTGGAGGCTCAACGTGCTATGCCACAGTGTTGGCCCCAGTTTTATGTTTCACATGGTTCAGATACGTTTTTGTTTTTTTTTTAGCTTTATTTATTTATTTATTTGTTGGAATGTCAGATATACAGAGAGGAAGAGAGACAGAGAGGAGGATCTTTTGTTCAATGATTCACTCCCCAGGAGACCACAATGGCTGGAGATACACCAGTCTGAAGCCAGGAGCCAGGAGCTTCTTCCAGATATCCCACGTGGGCATAGGGTCCCAAGGCTTTGGGTTGTCCTTGATTGCTCTCCCAGGGCACAAGCAGGGAGCTGGATGGGAAAGTGGAGCAATTGGGATATGAACTGGCATCCATATGGGATCCTGGTGTGTGCAAGGTGAGGACTTTAGCCGCTAGGCTACCATACTGGGCCTGGTTCAGATATCTTTATTTTATATGCTTATGGTTGTCCAATTGCTCCAGCACTAATCTTTGAAGATTTATTATTGTTTTTTTAAATTTTTATTGGAAAGGCGGATAAACAGAGAGGAAGATCATCCGTTCACTGATTCACTCCCCAAGTGAGTGCAATGGCCGATGCCATGCCGATCCAAAGCCAGGAGCCTCTTCCGGGTCTTCTGCGCGAGTGCAGGGTCCCAAGGCTTTGGGCCGTCCTCCACTGCTTTCCCAGGCCACAGGCAGGGAGCTGGAAGGGAAATGGGGCCGCTGGGACTAGAACCGGTGCCCATATGGGATCCTGGGCATGCAAGGCGAGGACCTTAACCACTTGCGCCATTGCGCCGGGCCCTATAAACTAATCTTTGAAAGAGCTGTTTTCTCTCTACTGAAATGCTTTTGCACTTTTGTTAAAAATCATTTGGCCCAAGTAGGGGAGGGCAGCCTGGCACTGTGGCATAGCTGCTAAAACTACCAGCTATATTGCTGGCATCCCATATGGGTGCTGGTTCAAGTCTTGGCTGCTCTACTCCCAGCCCATTCCCTGTTAATGTTCTTGGGGAAACAGCAATGGGCGGTCCAGGTTTTTGGGTTACTGCATATGGACTGGAGACAAAGGAAGAAGCTCCTGGCTCCTGGTTTCCCCTGGCCTAGCCCCAGCCATTGTGGCCATTTGGGGAGTAAATCAGCAGATGGAAGAATCTTTCTTTCCTCTCTCCCTTTCTCTCCTTCCGCCTCTCTGTAATTCTGCCTTTCAAATAAGTAAGTAAGCAGATAAGTAAATAAATAAATAAATAAATAAATAAGTCGTTAAAGAAATCCCATGGGGGTGTGGCTATTGTAGCACAGTGGGCTAAATTGCTACTTGGAATGCCTGCTTTCTGGATCTAATTGCCACTTTTTATTCCAGACTCTCCTCCTCAAGATCTAGGTACCTGCTAATCACCCTCAGAGGCGGTGGGTGAGTACTTGAGTTCTTGCCACCCACATGGAAGAGCTATACGAAGTTCCTGGCTCCTGGCTTTAGCCTGGCCCACCTCTGGCAGTTATGGTCATTTAGGGAGTGGGAGAGAAGGAAGATCTTTCTCTCCCTTTGTCTCTTTCCCTCTCTCACTTTCTCTGTGTCACCCTGCTTTTCAAATAAATAGATACATCTTTTTAAAAAAAAAATCAGCTGAATATTTTTATGTCGATATACTTCTGAGCTAAGAATGTAAAAAATTTGGACTCCAATATTGAACTCAGGTGCACAAATCACAAGAAATCAACCCATGCAGAGACTGAATGTAGAATACCACAGGAAGCATTTATCAAACAATCTAATTAACATTGCATGTCATTACGTGTGAAACTGTAAGAAATTGACTATGAATTCCCTGACCATTTGAACGCAGGATGGAGTCAACAGAGTATATTGAAATAGGACTGGACTTTGGGGCCAGGAAGATCAGCAACCTGACCATGATTTTACCACTTACCACTTGGCATACACTGAGCATGTAAGTTAACTCGTTCACCTCTTTGAGCTACACCTTCTCCATCCTTCAGGGCAGATCACATTTCTTGCTTCGTAGGATGAACTTGTGAATTCATGAGACGGAGCCTGCAAAATGGCTTGGTGCTAAGTGTCATCGACAGTAGCCACAGCAAAGGTAGATCCAAGGAATGTCTGGTGGGTTTTTTCCCCATGTGTCTGTTGCCCTCTTCCCATGTATCAGAGCAAATGCCCACTTTCAGTAGAACATATATGTGTGGTGCAGTGATGAGACACCCGTATCCTGTATCAGAGTAGCTGGGTTCCAATCCCACCTCTGCTTCTGGTGCCAGCTCCCTGCTAATGAGCACCGTGGGAACCAGAAGGTGATGGCTCAAGTGCTTGAGTTCCTGTTGTCCACGCAGGAGACCTGGACTGTTTTCTGTTTCTGGCATGAACCTGACCCAGCCCTGCCTGTTAAACAGAGGTTTGAGGGAGTGAATTAGTAGATGGAAGAGCTGTCTGTCTCTGCGTCTCTTTCAAATAAACTGAAAATAAATTTTAAAAGTTTATTTTAAAAACTATGTATACTATGCAAATATACCTTACAAATATAGCTTCAACAAGTGTTCACAGTTATTTCTTTCAGCCAAGCTACTATTTTTTTTTTTAAGATTTATCAGAAAGTCAGATTTACAGAGAGAAATAGAGACAGAGAAAGATCTTTCATCTGCTGGTTCACTCCTCAAGTAGCTGTAACAGCTGGAACTCAGCCAACCCAAAGCCAGGATCCAGGAGCTTATTTCCCACTTAGGTGTAGGGTCCCAAGGCTTTGGGCCGCCCTCTACTGCTTTCCAGGACCACAAGCAAGGAGCTGAAACGGAAGTGGAGCAGCCAGATATAAATTGGTGTCCCTATGGGATCCCGGCATGTGCACTAGGCTACTATGCCAAAAACTACCGTTTTTTAAATCATTATTATTATTTTATTTTTGACAATCTTTACATAGTTAATTAGGGTAAAAAGGTTCAAGGGCTATAGAAAAGTGGGTAAGACTGTTATTTCCATATTGTTTCCTTCAGGTTTAAAGGGGGGTATTAAGGGAGAAGGCCCACTCAATTTCCCACCCTCCCCAGGTCCCAGATGTAGGGTATGCTCTGAGGTTCTTGCTCAAGTGGTTTTGATAGTTCACCAGTAATGAATCACTGCCAATCTTGCCACTCCAAGCACTATGAGGTCTTTGAAGAATCCACCGATTGACATAGTCCATCATAGAGTCTCCATTTGCCCCGTATTTCATTGCCAACATATAACTGAGATGGTTGATTGACCTGTTCTGTCTTCTCTCTTTTCTTGGTTAGGGTTCTGAGTCCAGCATTTCAATTGGGGAGATCTCCAAAGAAACTTTGTCTGAAGTGTTCTCAGACCAGATTCTTGTATGTACTAGCAAGTACAGGGCCCGGCTCAGTCCATCGCCTTGATCAGCTGGTGGTTGCGATCGCTGGGTTGGTTCTGTTTTCAGACCTGACTTCAATGGAGCCAATGCAGTCCAGCCTGGTTCTGCCCAGCACATACTCGGCCCTCACATAAACCAGTGGGAGCTGCAGCCTAGTTGGAGCGACCAACAATAACCCCCACCAGACCCGCCCTCTACCCTGGTTTGCCAGTATGTGTAGCAGTAGTCCAGTCTGTCCCACACCCCATTCCACCCCAGCCCCTGTCCTGGTTTTCGTGCCCTCCCGTGGAAGTGGTAACCCAAGAAGGAGGAGCCCACTATTTCCCTCCTTTATCTGCATGTTCTGGGGCCCCATATAGGTGCTAACTCATGTCCCAGCTGCTCTACTTCCCATCTAGCTCCGTGCTTGTGGCCAGGAAAAGCAGTAGAGGACAGGCCAAAGCATTGGGACCCTGCACCCGCATGGGAGACCCAGAAGGAGCTCCTGGCCCCTGATCAGCTCAGCTCTGGCTGTTGTGACAACTTGAGGAGTGAACCAGTGGATAGAAGATTTTTCTGTGTCTCCTTCTCTCTGTGAATCTACCTTTCCAATAAAAAATGAATAAATAAATAAACTTTTTAAAAATTGTATTTCAAAAAAACATTTAAAGAGATTTTTTTAGAAGGTAGAATTACATGAAGAGAGAGAACAAAAATCATCTGTTGGGCCCGGAGCAGTGGCCTAGCAGCTAAAGTTCTCTCCTTGAACACGCAGGATCTCATGAGGGCTTCAGTTCTAATCCTGGCAGTTCCACTTCCCATCCAGCTCCCTGCTTGTGGCCTGGGAAAGCAGTCGAGGACGGCCCAAAGCCTTGGGACCCTGCATGTACGTGTGAGAGCTGGAGGAAGTTCCTGGCTCCTGGTTTTGGATTGGCGCAGCACTGGCTGTTGCGGTCACTTAGGGAATGAATCATCGGACGGAGAAAAGCTTCCATTCTGTCTCTCTTCCTCTCTGTATATCTGATTTTGCAATAAACATAAATAAATATTTAAAAAAAAATTGACAGAGTTGCCAACAAAAGTAGAGAAAGAGAGATCAATCTTGTAACCATTGCATTAGTCTCCTAGTGGGCATAATGGCGAGGGCTGGGCCGGGCCAGAGCTGGGAGCTTTATCCAAGTTTCTCATGTGGGTGCAAGGGTCCAGGCACTTGGGTCATCTGCTGCTGCTTTTTCCAGGTGTCTTAGTGGGAGCTGGATCAGAAGTACAGTAACTGGGACCCAAAACAGTTCCCAAATGGATTGGTAGCATCACTGGTGGCAGCATGACACTATGCTGCCACAATGCTGGCCCCTAAATTTAGCCCTTAAAAAAAAAAAGATTTATTTATTATTTATTGGAAAGTCAGATGTACAGAGGGGAGGAGAGTCAGAGAGGAAGTGTTCGCTGATTCACTCCCTAAGTAGCTGCATTGACTGGAGCTAAGCTGATCCAAAGCCAGGAGTCAAGCTTTTTCCAGGTCTCCCATGTGGGTGAGGGTGCCAAGGCTTTGGGCCGTCCTCGACTGCTTTCCCAGGCCATAGCAGAGAGCTGGATGGGAAGCAGGGCTGCTGGGATTAGAACCCGCACCCCTATGGGATCCTGGTGTGAGCAAGGTGAGGACTTCAGCCACTAGGCACCATGTCAGGCCCTATTTTTTTTTTTTTTTTAATGTTTTTCCACCCACAAAGAAGACCAGGACGAAGTTCCTGGCTCCTGGCTTTGGCCTGTGCCATCCCTGGCTGTTGTGGTTATTTGAGAACTAAATAATCAGTAGACGGAAGATCTCCATATTTTACTTTCTATCTTTCTTTGTACCTCTATTGCTCCGCCTTTCAAAGGAGTAATAAATCTTTTTTTTTTTTTGAAGAATCTGAAAAGGAACATCCACATCTGGAGACTTGTTGAGGCAGAGCTGATGATGCACTGGAGGTGCTGATGAAAGCATCTGTTACATGCATGAAAAGAATGTGGCCGAATGGAATCCAACCTGCAGTCTTGTGATGAACACTGCAGTCAGCCATAGAACTGCAACCTGGCTCTTCTCAGGTGTCTCACAGCTTCTAACCGGTTGGCCAGGTAAACCAGCTGGTTCTCCCTGTCCTCTGGCCTTCTGTATATGCTCATCTTTCTCTCCTTGAATCTCCTCCTCGCTTGACCTTCAGCTCAGCGAATTGCTATCCTTACTTCTAAATCCCTACGTCCACGTTGTTTGGACACCCCTTCCCTGCCCCCTCTGCCCATGATCTGAGATAGGCTCCTGTGCAAGCACTGCGGTTAATACTGTCTTTTCCATCAGACTGCTCAGCTTGGCTTCTGCTGGCTTTGCCTCTAAGTCCCAGCGGGGCAGGAGCTGGCTGTGTCTTGTTCACTGTCACAGAGTAACAGGAGTCCTCAACAGATATTTGCAACAAATGGAGGGATTTGTGTGCATCTCTGTGGACTCCTGGCTTCTCAGACACATGGGGAAACTGAGGCACCTGGAGGTGGGGCTGGGAAGGGAATTGAGATGATCAGATATCAAGTGCAATGCTCTTTCATTCCCTTTGACTATTTTTTTTTAAGTTTGCTTTAAAGGCAGTGTTGTAGACAGAGAGAAAGAGAGGGAGAGATAGATAGAGAGAACTTCAGTCTGACAGTTCAGTCCCTGAAGCAGGAGCTTCTTCTAGGTCTCCTATGTGGGTGCAGGGACCCTTCCTCTGCCATTTTCCCAGGAGCATTAGCAGGAAGATGGGCCAGAGTGGAGCAGGGAGGTCATGAACTAGCGCCTGTATGGAATGCTGGCATCTTTGAGGGTGATGGGTTTATGGCTACGCCAGGATACCAGCCCGTCAACTTCTTAAATAACTTCATTCCTCCCCAGCGGAGTGCCCATGACTTAGTCTTTTTCTTCCTTTGTCATTGCCGCAGAGGTTAGGACTGTTTCAGAGAATTATTTTATAACAAATGAGATCGCAGGGTAGAGAAAGATTTATCTGACTCCCAGGGTAAGGAAAGCATGAGCCTTTGGACCTTGGATTTAAATGAGCCAGCAAATCCCTGCTAATTCTCTTCCCTTGCTGGGTCCCATCGGCCTCACATTCAGCAAGGAGAAAGTCAGCCGGTGTCACTGGTGATTTATGCCCTGCTGCTTGCTCTCTTCCCCTAGAACATTAAACACCCTGAGCAGAGGGGGAAAGAAGAGGTAGTCTCAGGATGCCTGGCTGTCAGATGGGTGTCTGGGGAAGTGGCCGGGGAGGGGGTGGGGCAGCGTGGGCAAGAGCTCTCTTCTGTGCTGGGAAACAGCAGGAGGTTGAAAAGTTAAAAATAAAACCACTCAATAATAATAAAGGCTCATGGGTCTTCCATGAACAAGGGAATCTCTTGTTTGCTTGGACCTCTGCAAAAACGGATTGGCCACTGAGCCAGGAGACTCCGGGTGTCTGTTTTCCTCATCTGTTGAGTACCTTCCAGGAAGACCTCCCTCCACTTAGACCTCCATTTCCCTGGCTGTCAAGGAAAGGGCTGGATGATCTGAGTTCCCTCCAGCCTGGATCTGAAGCTAGGCTTGCAGCAGCCTTGCATGGAGAGAGAGAGAGAGAGAGAGAGAGAGGCAGTGTAATGCAGTAGTTCACCATATCCTACTATTCACTTAGTAGTTAGCCAGGGGACTTTGTGGTTAACCTTACGAACTCCAGTTACTGCAGCTACACCTCCAGATTGGCTGTGTGACCCAGGGCAAGTCCCTCAACTCTTATTTTAAGATTTATTTATTTATATTGGAAAGGCAGATTTTCCTGAGAGGAGAGAGAAAGGAAGATCTATTAGCTAATGGTTCATTCACCAAAATTGCCACAATGGCCAGGACCAAGCAGATGCAAAGCCAGGAGCCAGAAGTTTCTTCCAGGTCTCCCATGTGGGTGCAGGGTCCCAAAGCTTTGAGCCATCCTCCAGTGCTTTTCCAGGGTACATGCAGGGAACTGGATGGGAAGTGAAGCATGTGTGACACGAACTGGCACCCATATGAGATCCCGTTGATTGCAAGATAAGAATTTGGCCAGTTGAGCCATCACTCTGGACCATATTCCTCACCTCTCACAGAGTTTCATCAGCACTGTATAGTTCATTGCCAAAAGCTTCTGAGTCGATGGCAAGAACGCACCAGGCCTTTGCATGTGGTCCTGGCACTGAGTTAAGAGTCAGCTCTGTTGGAAGCTGTGTGCTTTCGATGGTCTCCAAACGTGGACTTCGAGCCTGGGTGCTGGTGGTTTTGGGGCAGGGGGTTTTCCAGCATGCACTTGGAAGTTCTGGGCAGAAGGCTGGAGGAGCTATTTCAGTGGGTTCTTGATACTATTTGTAGCCACTGAATTGGTCCAGGCCTTAGGAGAAGTCCTGGGCAGAGGAAACTCGGTGCTGCTGTGCTGTCTTCCCCAGCCGGACAAAGGGCTAAGGGAGATGATGAATGCAGAGAGAAGGAGGGAAGCCGCCCTCACTGGGAGGCACTCGCAGCAGGCCCACTCCTTCCTTGCTAACCTCTTGTCAGTTTCATCCTCTCTGTTCCAATCCTGGGAGAATTTAGAGGGGCTGCTTGACCTTTCACAGATGGATTTAGTTAGTCACACGGAACAATCCATCAATCCTGTTAACACAGTGGTGTTCTCACCTCCACGGCATGGATTTTTTCCCCCCAGTTTAAGTGGGATTAGTGTCCCTCGGCACATCGTTAGAAGGGTTGTCCAGAGTCAGTGGTGGCTCTATCACCAGATCCCTCAGTCGTTTTCTTTTTTTTTATTATTTACTTATTATTTTTTTAAAGATTTATTTTTATTATTTTTGTTATTGGAAAGGCGGATGTACAGAGAGGAGAGACAGAGAGGAAGATCTTCCGTCCGATGATTCACTCCCCAAGTGAGCCGCAATGGCCCGATACTATGCCGATCCGAAGCCAGGAGCCTCTTCCGGGTCTCCCACGTGGGTGCAGGTTCCCAAAGCTTTGGGCAGTCCTTGACTGCTTTCCCAGGCCACAAGCAGAGAGCTGGAAGGGAAGCGGGGCTGCCGGGATTAGAACCGGCGCCCATATGGGATCCCGGGCGTGCAAGGCGAGGACCTTTAACCACTTGCGCCACCGCGCCGGGCCCTATTTACTTATTTTTAAAGATTTATTTTTATTGGAAAGGCAGATATACAGAGAGGAGAGACAGAGAGGAAGATCTTCTGTCCAATGGTTCACTCTCCAAGTGAACGCAACGGCCGATGCTATGCCAATCTGAAGCCAGGAGCCTCTTCCGGGTCTCCCACGCGGGTGCAGGGTCCCAAGGCTTTGGTCGTCCTCTGCTGCTTTCCCAGGCCACAGGCAGGGAGCTGGAAGGGAAGCGGGGCCGCTGGGATTAGAACCGGTGCCCATATGGGATCCCAGGCATGCAAGGCGAGGACCTTAACCAATTGTGCCACCGCGCTGGGCCCAACGTGCAGGGGAAGTGGTCTCATTCCCCACTGAACCAGGGGCACCCGGCCTCTGACTTCCTCTCCTCCTCACCTCCCTCTACCCTCAAGTTGCTCAACCTCCCTAGACCTCAGTTTCCTCATTTATGCCATGCGGGTGGGTTGCCCAGCAAGGGCTTCCGAGTCCTCCTGCTGCAACTCTGTGATTCTCTGATGCAATCACCAAATAAAGTGAAGCTGATTCTTCTTCATTCTTTCTAACTTCTAAAAATGTTTATTTTAATATTGTTTACATTGAGAGGGATGGCTGCCCAAGTGGGCCTCCAATTAGGGTGCGGAGGGTGGTGGTATGGAAGAAGGTGAGTGGGACAAATGTTTCAGTTCTTTTTATTCTCCTGGTCTTCTGGGGATGCTGGGGAGAGGATTGATTCTTGCTGTCTGACTACATCAGCACCCCACAGTTGGGGGACAGTTATTAGATGATGCCTTAGAGACCCCCATATGGGGAAGAACGTTCTGAGAGTGTTACGTGAGTGGTTTTGGCAGTTCTGAGACATCGTTGGCTTTGTTGCACCTGAGTGGGGAAAATCTTTTCCAAGGTCTCTTGGCTGACCACGTCCACCTCAGGGTGCACCCATATACCCAGACACTTGTTATCAAAGCTTGGCCAGGAGAATTGTCCAACCTGTTCTGCTTTCCATGCTTTGGTGAGCCATTTGACATCCTCTGCTGGCCGTCATGTCTCCCATGTGCATCTGTATGCTGCCCACAGGGATCAGCAACCAAAGAGGCCGAGTCCCAATACATGCTCTCCGACGTTGGACCATGTTATCTTGTGATTGTCCCTGAGGCCGTGGTTTTGAGTGCAATGATCTGGTTGGGGAGTCTCCCAAGAAGCCTTGCCTGGGGTGACCTCAGATTTGATTCTTGTGTACACCAGTTAGGGCAGCTCAGGTTTGGTCTGTCACCTTCACCAGCCAACACGCAAACCAGTGGATACAGCTGCATAGTCAGTTTTGCCCCCAGCCTCATCTCTCATGCAAGCTGACAGGTGCTGTGGTCTAGTTCAACCTGGTCTGCTAAAAGGCCTGGTTTTCATGCACACAGCGAGTACTGCAGCCTAGTGGGGTAACCTCCAATAACCCCCACCAAGTCCACCCCCAAGGCTGGCTTTGCATGTGCTAGCAAGTGCCCTGTCTGTTCTGTATCCCATCCTACTCTTGTGGACACCTATGGGTGCCGCAGCTTAGCTCAGCCTGCCGCACCGCCCCCAGACTCAGCCCACACATATGTCCCAGCCTTGACTCATGCTCATCAGCCAGAGTTGCAGGGGAGTACCCAGAATTTCCTTACGAGGCTGGTACTCAGCCCCTGATCTTGCACCTACCCTGGGGTATGCAGTTCATCCTAGTAAGACTTGCAGCTAGTCCCGGGTCTTGCCAGCTGGTGCTGTGGCATAGCCGGCTGGCCGACACTCCCTCTCACACCAGCTGGTGGGTCAGCCTAGCCCAGTCTGACCCAGCCCAAATGCCAGCTGATGGGTGCTACGGTGGCTGACTCTTTAATCAAAGGGTGGTTGGTAGAACTGAGAGGCTCGAGAGGGAGAGATGACACATGTCCTACCCGGTCATTTTCTGAAGGGGAACACTGAGGTTCTGAGAGTGGGGTCGGATCAGGTGGTGAGTCAGAGTGTCTTATCTGGGTCTCTAACCCAGGTCTCTCATCTCCCATTGCAGCTGGACTTCCCTGGCACTGGACAGCTCAGTACTCACTGGAGGATGATGGGAATCAGAGCAACCAAGTGCTACTGGGCAGATGTGAGCTCCTTAACCCCAGCATAGCCTGCTTCCCACTTAAAAGCCCCCTGACTCTTTAGGACGGATGGCGAGTCTGCTCGAATGAAAAACTAGCTCACTACTGGAGTATGTCCTTGAGTGCCCACAGTCTGGTCATTGGGTACTGTCCTCATCAATTTTCAACACCTTCTGCCGTATACTAATGATTACTTCTTTCTTTAATCAATTCAGTGTTTTGTGTTTTTTTATTTTTATTTTTAAAGATGTACTTATTTTTATTGGAAAGGCAGATGTACAGAGAGGAGGAGAGACAGAGAGGAAAATCTTCTGTTCCATGATTCACTCCCCAAGTGGCTGCAATGGCTGGTGCTACGCCGATCTGAAGCCAGGAGACAGGAGCTTCTTCTGGATCTGCCACATGGGTGCAGGGTCCTAAGGCTCTTAGCCATCCTTGACTGCTTTCCCAGGCCACAAGCAGGGAGCTTGATGGGAAATGGGGCAGTTGGGATAAGAATTAACACCCACAAGGGATCCCAGCGCATACAAGGCAAGGACTTAAGCTGCTAGGCTACTGTGCCGGGCCCACAAAATACTCTAAATAACCTGTTAGGATCACCACACTGGCACCCAATCTGAAGTTGGAGTGCAGGACACATTTAACCAAATCATGTAAGATGCCTTTCTTTCTTTCTTTCTTTCTTTCTTTCTTTCTTTCTTTCTTTCTTTCTTTCTTTCTTTCTTTCTTTCTTTCTTTCTTTCTTTCTTTCTTTCTTTCTCTCTCTCTCTCTCTCTCTCTCTCTCTCTCTCTCTCTCTCTCTCTCCCTTCCTTCCTTCCTTCCTTCCTTCCTTCCTTCCTTCCTTCCTTCCTTCCTTCCTTCCTTCCTTCCTTCCTTCCTCCCTTTCCTCCAGTTGCCCTACATAGCACTTGTACTACCATGTGGAATAGAAGTCATGAGAATGGAGAGCTTTGTGTTACTACTGATTATATAGGAAAAACTCTTCTCTGTTGAGGATGCTGTTAACCGTGGTGTTGTCATAGGTGGCCTTTGATGTGCTGAGGTGCAGTCCTGTGTATCTGGCTGAAAGTTTTTATCATGACAGGATGTTGACTTCTGTCAGATTCCTTTCAGTATCTATTGGGATGGCTGTACAGTTTTCATACACTGTGTTAATGTGAGAAATCAGTTATTGGATTGTGTATGTCGAGCCATTTGTGCATCCCATGAATAAATCTCTTTTGGTTAGGGTCAGTGATCCCTTTAATGCTCTGTTGAATTCTGTTGGTGAATATTTTGTTCAGGATTCTATTATTCCAGGGGCTGGTGCCATGGCATAGTAGACTGAGCTTCCATCTTTGTCATCCATGTGGGAGACTTAGAAGGGGCTCCTGACTCCTGGTTTTGGATCGGTTCAACTCTGGCCATTGTGACTATTTTCTAAAACAAAAATTTTGTGAGAAGAATGGTGCTGTTTCACATTTGCAAGTCTCGTGAAGTTTGTGTTAGTAATTTGGCACTTCTGTCTGCTTCTATATTTAGGCAGTGACAGTTTTTTGGGGGGTTGAGGAACATGAAGAAAATCCACTTAAAAAAAAAAAGACCTAGGATGGGAGGGAGGCTGGATAGGGGCTTTTCCCTTTGTTTTTCCCCTGACCCCAGTTACAGCAAAACAAAATGATGATATTAGTGTGGAAACAATGGTATTACCCACTTTCCTATAACCCTTGACCCTTTGCACCCTAAGCAACTAAGTAAAATTAATAAAAAAAGAAAAAAAAAGAAGGCAAATCCTCTTCAGTTATACAATTCATATAATTGTGAATTCTGTCTCAATATTATGCCAAATTATGACAGGTGAAAATTTCTTAAAGTTTAGTTGCATAAATTAACATCACTAATTTTTCACGTTACATTACACTAAAACTTTTTGGTTTTATGCTTTGAACAGATGCTTTGTTCATGTATGATTTAGTAACATGATCGATCATTTGGAAAATACTGGTTCACAGAGTTATACAGTTCTTTCAAATGTTGGCAATTTATATAACATGACATAAAAAACTCACTTTGGCTAATACTATCAACCATCTTGGAAGAAAAATTTACATATTGGGAAGTTGTTAAGCTTATAGCAGTCCATTCAAGATTCCTAAAATTAAGTTATTAGAAAAGCATTTTAAAAGATTTATTTGAAATTTAGAGCTCCAGATACAAAAAGAAAAAGGGGGAGAGAGAGAGAGATCTTTCATTTGCCAGTTCACTCCCCAGACGGGCACAGTGGCCAGTGCTGGGCCACGCTGATGCAGGAACCAGGAGTTTTATCTAGGTCTCCCACGTGGGTATAGATTTCCAAGACCCTGAGGCTGGTGAAAGTGTTGAAGTTGGAAACCCAGAATGGCCATCCATGCATTTTGGGGGCAGGTAGGAGGCAGGAATTGAATCACCTGCTGTTCCCACCTTAATGTTCCCTGCCAGATTCTGCATCAGCTGGGGGGCAGAATCAGGAAGCGGGAATCAAATCCAGGTACTTGTATGGACTTAGGCATTTAACCTCAAGCTAAATGCCTGCCATCTGCCCCAAGATACATAATGAAACAAATGCTATCGCCTTTGTGCTTGAATTGACAGATTTACTTTATAGGTTTTGAGAAAATGTCTGCCAGATATTTTAAGCTAAATAACTATGGTTCGTAAGTTGATCATTTTTTCTGGTAAAAGTAATATTCTCTTAAAAACAGACAAACCCAAACAAACCAAGGAGCTACTTCACCTGCTGGACCAGGCTGAAGCCAAGAGCTCAGATCTCCCACATGGGTGTCAGGGACTCAAGACCTTGAACCCTCACCTAATGCCTTCCAGGGTGTGCATTGGCAGGAAGCTGATACTGAAAGTGGAACCAAGGGGCCGGTTCAACAGGCTGACTCTCCACCCTGTGATGCCTGCGTTCTGTAAGGCACCAGTTCACGTCCCAGCAGCTCTACTTCTGATCCAGCTCCCTGCTTACATCCTGGGAAAGCAGCAGAGGACGGCCCAAGTCCTTAGGCCCCTGCACCCATATGGAAGACCTGGAGGAGACTTCTGGCTCCTGGCTTCTGATAGCCTTGACTGAGATCATGGTCATTACAGCCATCTGGGGAGTGAACCAGTGGATGGAAGATCTTCTTTCTCTATTTCTCCTTCTCTCTATTAAGTATGCATTTCAAATAAAAATAAGTGAATCTTTAAAAAAGAAAGTGAAATCAGGTTGGGGGTGGCAGGGAGAGTGCGATGGCTCAATTGACTAATCCTTAGCTTGTAAGTGCTGGCTTCCCAGCTGCTCCACTTCTCTTCCAGCTCCCTGCTGGTGGCCTGGGAAAGCAGCAGAGGATGGCCCAAAGCCTTGGGACCCTGCACCTGCATGGACAATCCAGAGGAAGGCCCTGGCTCCTGGCTTCAGATCAGCTCAGCCCTGGCCGTTGAGGCCATTTGAAGAATGAACCAGCTGATGGAAGATCTTTCTCTTTGCCTCTCCTTCTCTCTCAGGTAAATCTGCCTTTCCTATAAAAATAAATAAATCTTAAAAAAAAAAAGAACAGAAAGGTAAAGATGAAGAAAAGTGGCAAGCATCAGGACTTAAACTCAGCTTTCCAATCTGAGGCAGAGGCTTATATGCAAGGCCACTCCTGAGTGCAAATGGCGTTTGTTTACTGCCTTTGTGTGCCGAGAGAGAATACAGTGGCTACCAGCACCACTGCCTTGATTTGTGATGAATTGTCAGCAGTTTTATCACCATTGATTCTTTTTTTTTTTTTTTTGCACCACTAGGGTCAAAGTGAACCCGGTAAAGAAACTGAAGGAGGTGAGCATTATGCGAGTTTTGGGATAATGCTCCCCACCTCAGCGCTCATTGACCCGGATGACTTCTCTCTTGTCAATAGCAGGGACCTAGTGTTGGGAAGTGTGCCTTTTTTTTTTTTTTTTTTTTTTGCAGTGCTGAGGGACCTGGTGCCACTTCCTGCTTCCCCCTCCCCACAGCTCCATCCATCCATCAGATGTAACCTGGCCTTTACCTGAGAGTCTCACCCCCAATCTCCCCGCCCCTCCCCTGGTCCCCACCTGTGGCTGGGATACTCTTGTCACCAGTCCCTGGGGGCAGCCCACAGTCCCTCCCTTCTCCTTACCTCTCTCTCTTCCCTTCCCTTTTTACCTCTCTCCCTTGTGTCCTCCTTCATCTTGTCCACTTCCCTTGCTTGCCCTGGCAGCCCTCATCCTGCCACCACGGCAGGAGCTATTTCCTTTCCTGTTCTCTTCCCACCACCCTACCTACCCTGTTGAAATAAAGGACCTCCTAATAGCTCATCGCATCTGGGACTTTGGCTTGCGGTAAATTTGCCGTGAAAAGAGGACTTGACTGTGGGAATTAGCTGTGCCTCAGAACTTTAAAAAGCTAACACCCTAGCCACCCAGGATCCCTGCATGGCTTCGGGAAGCTCCCCACGTCATCAGCCAATTTTTTCCTTCTGTCTTAGCTGACTGCAGAGGCCCCAAGCAGCTGGAGGAACACTTGTCAGCTTCTGAGAGATAGCAGCGGGGGGGGAGTGTCCCGAAAGGTTATCAGGAGAGAGAGGAAGGGCAGGTGAGTACAGGGGAGCCCTCCCGTGAAAAACAGGACAGAAGCAGCAGCCCCAGGGGAGCCTAGGCTGCGTCCCTGTCCTCGACTCAGCCCCAGAGTGAGGGCTTTGCGTTCAGCCCCAAGGATCAGGTCCAAACCCGGAACCTCAGAGTCCTACACTTCTCTGTGAGGTAAGCAGGGTGACGAGTGTGAGGAGTGATTCCAACATGACATTTTGGACCTGACACCACTTCCCGCTTCCCCTTCCCAGGGTTTGCAAAATTCACCGTTTTAGTTAGCCACCAATGAGACGTAAACTCATGTCGTTTCACCTGAGAATCCCACCCACCAATCTCTTAGGCCCCTCCCCCTAATCCCCACCCACATACCACTCGCCAGTGGTCTGTTATCAATCCCTTGGGGCCCACCCACGGCCCCTCCCAGTTAATTCCCTGCGCCCCCCACCCCTTCCAGGCTCACCTGGCTTGTATAAAACGAACCTCCACGGGTTCCCCCCTTTTCCCTTGCTCGCCTCCCTCCCCCATCCCGCTCCATCTTGCCCCCTTCCCCTGCCCTGGCAGCCCTCCATCCTGCCACCATTACCAGGAGATGTTTCCTTTTCTGTTCTCTCCCCTCCTTCCACCCCAACTTCCGTTTCTATCCTGCTGGAGTAAAGGACCTCCTAAGCACCTTGCTGGTCTGGCAGTTTGGTTTACGGTAAACTTGTCATGAAAAGGCTGTGGGAATTACCTGAGCATAAGAACTTTAAGTGCACCTAAAAACTAACAATGAGTACGTCCTTAGAGGGCAATGAGGCAACTGCAGCCTAGAGAAGGGGAGTGGGGAACAGGTCTTTGGAGGCACCAAGGTCCAAATTTAGACACAGCGTGTGTTAAGCAGCCTCTTAGACTTCCGCCTGCATCCCGTTTGAGCGCCAGCTGGAATCCTGCTTGCTCTGGTTTCCTGATCGGCTTCCTGCTGGTCTGCCTGGGAAGACGCTGGCCACCTGCATGGAAGCACAGATGCAGTTCCAGGCTCCTGCTTCAGCCTAGGCTCGCCCTGGCTATTATAGCCATCTCTGTCTCTCTCTGTCACTCTTCCTGTCAAATGAAAAATTCTAAAAAGTTTTGTTTATTTTATTTGAAGGCAGAGTGAGAGAGAGAGAGGAGAGAGAGGGAGAGAGAGAGGAACAGAGATCTTCTATGTTCCGGTTCATTCCTCAAATTGCTGCAATGGCCCTGGTTGGGCCAGGTTGAAGCCAGGAGCCTGGAATTCCATCTGCCTTTCCATAAAGACGGTAGGGGCTGTAGTCTTCTCTCTCTTTCTCTCTCAGCTTTATTTATTTGAAAGAGAGACACAGAGATACTTTCCATCTGCTGGTTTACGCCCCAAAGGGCCGCAACAGCTGGAGCTGAGCCAAGCTGAATCCAGGAGTCAGGAACTCTTTTGGGGTCTCCAGTTGGGTAAGTGGGGGCTCCAGCTGATATTCGTGATGTGGGAGTTCTAATCCTGGCAGCTCCACTTCCCATCCAGCTTCCTGCTTGTGGCCTGGGAATGCAGTCTAGGACAGCCCAAAGCCTTGGGACTCTGCACTCATGTGGAAAACCCAGAAGAGCTCCTGGCTCCTGGCTTCGAACTGGCTCAGCTCCAGCCGTTGTAGTCACTTGGGGAGTGAATCATTGGACCAAAGATCTTCCTCTCTTTCTCTCCTCCTCTCTGTATATCTGGCTTTGTAATAAAATAAATCTTTTTTAAAAAATAATAAAAACAGTACAGCAAACAGGGGGATGAATTTCCTTGGGTTTGTTGGATGGAGAATAGAGTCCATAGTATATTGTGGCAGGGCAATTCACAGGCTCCTCTGTAAAGGCCAAAGGTAAGGCAGCCTTGGAATGTAGAATTCTTCTGCAGGTTAGCCTGGGTAGGTTAGAATTCTTTTTTGTTGGAGAACTCTCTTGCCCCCACCCCCTCCCGAGCTTTTGACTTGGCGCTGAGATTGAGACAGAGTGATAGCTATAACTACAGTTCCTCGGATTCACATGCATCGTAGTAAATGAGTTTTATTCTGATCACAACTGCAGATGAAATATACCACAATGGTTCTTCTTTTTTTTTTTTTTATCGGTAAGTAGACTGAGCTGATGATGTCTCTAGCCTATAGGGCTCCAGCCCAGAGTTACGCAAAGATGCCTTCTTCAGAAATCTGTAGGACCATCTTTGGCTTTCTTTCTCCCGATTCGTTCGTGGCCTATTCCCACTCTGTGCAGCCAGTCTGTATTACTCAGTTGAGCCTCTCCCGCCGAGAGAGTTCCGCCAGCCTGCAGCCCCGCCCATTGCCAGGGCGTGGCCTATACCACTGGCCCCGCCCCCTGCGGCCCCTGACTTTTTTCCTCCGGCTGAATGCCCGAGCCTGCGCGCGCGCTCGCGCGCTCGCTCCCGCTCGCGGCCCGGCTCGGCGTCGGGAGCGCGCTCTGTGTGGCCGCTGCCGCCATGTTGTTGTGGTTGTGAGAAGGCGGCGGCGGAGGAGCGGCCGGACTAGACGCTCCAGCGGCCCAGGCGCTGCCCTCCGTGGCCCCAAGGCTGGGAGCCTCGTGGGGGTGCTGGTGGCAGAGGCGGGCCTCGCCATGATCTGCCGTCCGGTAAGAAGCCCACCCTTGGTCTGCTCGCCGTATGAGGAGGAACTGGAGGAGGGGCCCGTGTCGTCGGCCCCGACGCGACGCCTGTCACCCCCTCGGAGGAGGCGGCGGCCGTGCTGGGCCCGGGGAGGGACGGCCGGGGAGGCCAGCAGCACCACCCTCCCTCGGGAGCTGCGGGAATGGGCACGGGGGTGTGGGAACGGCTCGGGGCCCCGACCCCAGCACGGAGGAGGCGGGGTCCAGGGCGCGGATGGCCTTGGCAGACCTGGTGCAGATCAGCCCCCCAGGGGTGAAGTTCTGTCCCCCTTCAACTGGGGAAACGTCGTGGTGTGTGTCTCTGTGTGTGTGTGTGTGTCCCTTGGACCAGGGCGGCTCTGTGGGACGTCCACCTTGGCGAGAAGGCTGGTGGAGGTCGGGGGCCATGGGAGCTCCGCGGGCGAGCCGTGCGGGCCCGGCCAGGACTTGTGGGAAGGAGGAGTGGCCGCCTGACTGGGCAGCCCGGGCATCCTCCCGACCTGGCACAGTCCTTGTTGAGTGGGAAGGCTGATGGTTTTTGGGGGGCAGTTGAGGGAGCTCTGGGGACGCGGGTCTGTCCCAATAGCTCCGCGGCGTAACGATTACAGTGTTATTTCTTGGGTTAGGCATTGTGCACCTCACGGGCCAGAAGTGGGTATTATTGGCTGGACTTTGGGCTGGGAAACTTAATGTCAGAACGAGGGTGGGAGGGTTAGATTTTGATGGGCACTGGAATAGACTCCTCTTGTGTGCCTGATAATCCTGCAGAATTTGGACTTTATCGCGGGATTCATCATGGACTGATTTTTACTCCTGTGAGATATCGATGTGTTCTGATCAAGGCCTACATTCTCGATTATTGTAGTTTTTCTGGACATTGGCTTTGTTATCAGACATCCGTGTTATCATTATTGTTTATTATCAGTAACACTTTCAAAAGTGCATATACTTGGGGTTCAGTTTAGTTTCTTCCGTGTGAAATGATGCTGCCGGTGGAGGCCTGGGTTGCATTGTAGAAGATTGCACTTTTATGTGAAATGTTTGTGATTTATTCGGGGAGAAGTGATGGGGGTCTCCCCCTTTTTCATAGTCAGGGCTGTTGGGCCGGAGACACGATCCCTGTAGTGTTAGTGGTCCCACTGCCTTACAGGACACCAACTAAGGTGTGTTGGAGGCACACGGAAGGCTTTCCCTTCTCGGGCCTGTGACTGGGGTCGACAGAAGAACATACAGAAGGATTTCTGTTTTTTTTTGTTTTGTGAGTAAACCCAGTACAGTGTATGATCTTAAACTGCTTTGGAAGGTTCTAGAATTGTAGACACGCAAAGTCCTCTTTCAGCTCTGATTACTTACCTTACTTTGAAGTGAGCCAGAGTGGCCAGCACCTTGGGGACAGCCCACCTTGTAGTTACTGGCAAGCCATAGAAGGACCCAAGTTTCTTGGCTTTATACCAGGTTCTTCAGTGGTTACCTCTCTCTTTATTTTTAGGAGTTATTTATTTTTTTTTACAAAGTCAGATATACAGAGAGGAGGAGAGACAGAGAGGAAGATCTTCCATCTGATGATTCACTCCCCAAGTGAACGGAATGGCCGGTGCTACGCCAATTCGAAGCCGGGAACCAGGAACCTCTTCTGGGTCTCCCATGCAGGTGCAGGGTCCCAAGGCTTTGGGCCGTCCTTGACTGCTTTCCCACGCCACAAGCAGGGAGCTGGATGGGAAGTGGAGTTGCCAGGATATGAACTGGCGCCCATATGGGATCCTGGTGCATTCAAAGCAAGGATTTTAGCCATTAGGCCACAGTGTTGCGCCCGGAAGGCTTCTCTTTAGAAAGAGTATGAACCGCCTGAAATGCTGATTACTGGGCCTCATGCAGGATGTGGTGGCACCTGGTGGTCCACTACAGGTGGTCTTACCAAACTCCACACACAGTCCGCTTCAGGTTGAATATTCCAAAGTATTCCCATACTCTCTGACTCGGGCTAAGCTGCCACCTGCATGTGGGTGCAGGACTTGTGGCTACTCCACTTCCTATCCCTCTCCTGGCTAAAATGCCTGGGAAAACTGTGGAAGATGGCCCAGGTGCTTGGGCCCTGACACAGTCATGAGACCGGAAGAAGCTCTACCTTCTGACTTCCCTCTGGCCAAGCCCCTGCCATGGCAGCTGTTTGGGGAGTAAACCAGCGGATGGAAGATTTCTCTTTCTCCTTTTGTCTCTGTGAAATGCTGCCTTTCCAAAAAAAAAAAAAAAAGATGAAAGTGCCTGGTGATCTACCCTTGAAAAGCTCTGTGAATGATTGTGGTCCACTGGAATGTGGATTTCTGTCTTAGAATGAATATTCCAAAGAATTTCCATTCATGAAATGACATCTGAGAGTGTTTTTAGTGGTTTATGGAGCTTTAAGAGTTTGAGCGGTAGTGGAGCAGTAGAAGCACGAGAAATTGAAAACTGCAAGTTGAACATCTTTTAAAATACAGTGCATTTATGTCAGGAAAATGTGTTTATTGGCAAGTGTTACTTATGCACAAGTTGTTAGGAACACATTTGATAAAATCAGGTGCTGCTTAACAGAAGTCGTATTCACAGATACTTGAAAGAACCCCGGGGAAAGACGCTGAGTTATGGAGGCAGCATGCTCTGGGCTCCTCTGCAGTAGCCAGACTCAGTCTGTGTTGGTGCCCTGATGTCCCCAGTGCCAAACAGCATAGTCTGTGTGCTCAGATTTTTTTTTTTGAGGAAATGACTACTATTGACATGGGAAAAGGAATAGTTACAAAGCTTATTGTTAGTGTTGTTAAAAGCTTCTTAATGTCTCGTGTTGGATTGAAGAGTGTGAGTCTTCCCAATATCCCAGTGTTAGAGTTGTTCACAGTTGGCAGTCATAGCTGCTGCTCCTACACTATCCGACTCGGGATTCTAGTGAACTGGAGTGTAGGGTGGGTGTGTTAGCAGTCACTTGTGCCCAACATTGTGAATTGGGAAGGTTTATTATGGCTTGTGAGAAGTTCTTAAAATTTACCCCAGATGGGGAGGAGTGGTTGGTCAGTTAAAAAAAAAAAATCATGTGAAGTCATGCTTAGCACTTTCTGTGGTGAAGTGGAATGCTGAGTTCACCTCAGGAAGTATTCTTGTTTCAGAATGGGTGTGGTAGTTGGCACAGGTTTAGAAGAGGTGGAGGAAGATGGTATAGTTGTGTAAGGTGAAGTGGTTTGGTCAATATCGTGTCAAATCCTGGAGTAATATTTTTAGAGAGATGCATCCAGCTGTTCACTGCAGGAACTAGAGACCCTGTTTGTGTTCCCTGATGTCCCCATGCTTAGGAGCACAGTTCTCAACATAGTCAGTCCTCTATTTTGAATTGTCTCTGCCTTTCAAATACATAAGAAGAGAGAAACAGAGGGGGAAAAGAGAGAATGAATCGTCTGTTGGTTCATTCACCAGAAGGCTGCAGTGAGCGTGGTCGGCTCAGTGTTTGGACCATCCTCCACTGCTTCACCAGGCAGGTTCGCAGGAAGCTGGATCAGAAGCAGAGCAGCCAAGACTCGAACTGTCACTTCAGTGTGGGATGCTGCCGTTGAAAGCTGTTAGCTTAACTGGCTGATCCGTGCCAACTGCTAAGAGTAATTCTGAGCAAGTGAATATTAATGTAAAATAGCAAAAGAGCAGTTATGATGATTGATGGCAGAGTTAGTTATTAAAAGCTACTTGATATTTGCATTGGATTACAAAACCAGTTTTCGGTCGTTGTTGATAATTAATACTCCTCCAAGAGAGTGTTTTCTAAAGACTGTCAGCGAGCACTATCCTGTATCCCAGTTTTTGAGCCTTAATGTTTCTTTTAAAGAAAGAGCACATTTTACTAACTGCAGAGCTAGCACAGAGCAATGGGAAGCTCTGGATTGGCAGACAGACCTACATCCTAATTCCACCTCACTTTTCCAGGCTTCAGTTTCTTTATGTATGCCACTGAGCCTATACTTGATCTTTGGTGATTTTTATAGCCTAATTCTGAGACTGTAATAATTTTGAATGTTTAATAATTTCTCATGGGCCTATACTTGATCTTTGGTAATTTCTATAGCCTATTTCTGAGACTTTAATAATTTCGAATGTTATTTGTTATTCATCTCATTAGGTAAGATGAATTAGGTGAGATGATTAGGGCTGGTCATTTTGATTAAAAAAAAAAAAAACAGAAAAGAATTTTAGTCATTGTCCAGAAGGGTTCTGGAATGGAATGGATGTTGTAAGTCCTACGCAGAAACAGTTTGCTGGTACTGTTGTAATGACTTGGTGTTGAAATCAAATTGAGTTTCACATAGAGAACTTAATAATTTAGTGTGAAGTCACAAAACTTAGAAAGGTTTATGAGAAGTTTGGGCAGTTTATGTGGCTAGTTGTTCTTACAGACCCCCCCAGTTGTGTAACTTTTTTTCTGGGGAATTCATATGTAATATTATATTCAGTGAAGCACTGATTTAAGTCAATATGATTTAAGGCAGCTTATACTGTTTTGAACTACTACTATTAGTAATTTTCAGTTGTTATTGCAATTTTTAGTCTTAATTTTATGATGCTAGTACTGACATGCTTGCATCTTCATTTTTGTACCTAGAAACTTAAATATATCATTTAAGTTGATGTTTGTGTTAGCTGTTCAAAATGAAAATGATTACAGCACGAGAGCGGATAGAGCAGTAAGTCTCAGGTTCGGACCGAGGTGTGCTCCTCATCAGCCCTGTTGGTTCTGACCAGCACATAACCCCACTGACCTCCAGTTCCCTCCTGGGGGATTGGTAAATGACTTCATTGTAAAGAAGGAGCAGTCTTTCTTCTTATTCCTCAGGCTATCAGAGAGGATCAGATGGAATGATGTCTATGAAAAATCAATCTAGAAAGATAATAGAATGGTTTAAAATCCTATTACATTGGGGGCTTGTTTTATTTTCTCGGAAGAGCTGGCTTGGGGATAGCGCTAAGCTTGGTTCATGTGAGTGTAGAATGTGGTAATGTAATGACAGGCAGCAGGGAAGGTGGAAGGTTCCTGCATGTGTGCTCCTTTGGGAGAAACCTTTCAGCACTTGGATCCTGTCAGTAGAACTTGTCGTGGTGTTGTAGGGGCTGCAGAGGGACTTGGCATTCTTTTTTGGGCCAAGGTCTATGTTTGGAGTAGACTTATTAAACTTTTTTTTTGAGGTTTATTTATTTTTATTGGAAAGGCAGATTCACAGAGAGAAGAAGAGACAGAAAGATCTTCCATTTGCTGGTTCACTCTCCAATTGACCACAATGTCCGGAGCTGAGCCTATCTGG